GAATACACTTTTGTTTCCCTCTATCCCTTTTTTTTATTTCTACAGAAAAGAAACAAGAGAGAGAAGAGAAAAAGGAGGAGGAAGAGAAGAGACGTTGTAAAGAGAAGGAGAGGAGAAAAATGCGAGAAGAGGTGGAGAAGAGGGTTCGTGCTGAAATGGAGGAGCAGCTGAAAAGCTGAAAGTAGAAGATTCTACCTTATCTACACTTCTGACCTATTTCGATCCCTCTCTACATCATATAGTTCAGAATTTGCTGATGATATAGCTATTTATAATATCCATAAAAAAGTAGAAGTGGCTATGGAATTACTTAATTCAGATCTTAGGTCAGGAAGATTTAATGGCTGATCTAAAAGAAACCACGTCAGCACTGCTAACTTTACAATTGAAACTAGGAGAAGTCAGAGAAAATCAATCTAACTTGATCCTTTACTCTGCCATTTTGGTCATATTTTAATGATTCAATCACGTATTTTTCTCCTACCTTTTTTTTTTCTGTGAACCTTGTCACCCAAACTCGAGAAGTCAAGGATGATTAATTTTTAAAGTTCTTTGTTGTTTCTACTTTCGTTTTATAGGAACAAAATTTGATTTCAAAAAATGAAGTCTTCCAGCAAAAAAAAGAATGTCTGACAACAATAAATAATGAGGACATACCTTTGTATATCCCACAGTGCTGGAGAAGGTGTAAGAGGAGCATCCCTCTACGGTCAATTCAAGCTTTGAAAATTGATAGCATTCCTCTTTTTCGAGAATGAATTTTTATAGTAGGTATAGTAATGAAATAATAAAACAAAATGCATGGTATTTGTTTGACGAGAAATGCTTACATTTAAGTAATGTTTATCTGCTCTTAATTGGACTAATGAATCTAAAAAAACCTTCCAGTTAAGTCATTGACAAATTCTCTTTTAAATTTTGATTTAAAACTTTAGTAGAGGCAAACATTGATAGTTACTATTTTCTTTCGATAATATTTCTTTTTTTAACTTTATATTTTAATTTGAATCTGTGTAATGATAATGTTTTACAATATTTCAGGAATTCAATAGGTGTGATACAATTCCATCAATCAAATTCTTTGTAAGTGTGAAGCATCTCTAATGACAGGGGAAATAAAATTCTGGAAATCCACTGACTTTTTCTTTTTGCTATAGAACTCAAAAATTTGAAACAATGGATCCAACAGTGACACATTGTCGTTACCTCTCAAAACGAGCTGTGGCAGTTCAATCATTTTACAGGTATGTGAACATTTTTCTTTTTCAGGTACAAAATGGAATTATTCTCAATAAATTTTTGCCTCAGAAGCTGGAAATATCCTTAATTTTTCTCGTTTTCTTTACTATTTCCTTTTGTTTTTCTCTTTTTCTTCACTGGAAAAAAAATCCGACCGTGGGAGCTACAATGAAGGGCTATATCGACATTTTGTCCGTTGGGGGCACAAAGGCCGAAAATTTTGGCTGTTGGAGCTGTAGTTCTGGCCCTCGAACCTGGATCAATCGCTGGAGCTATAGCTCTTGCAGTCGTAATTTTCGTTTTTTGAGCCTGGAACGGACGGTATGTAAATGCAGGTTCCAAGGCGGGGGTTTTTTTTCAGTGTTAAAATATGTACCCTTAAATGTTCATCCTTTAAACTTTTCAACTCCATGCCCTCCTCTATAATCTCAAATTAAGAGGTTTTACCGGAGGCTAAAAAATGTTCACAGTTTAAGGCCAAGTCTAAGCGGAGAATTTTCAAGGAACCAAGTATCACATGAAGTATTCATATCGGTGCATTTTGAAAACTGAGATGTTGTATGTGTGAGGAATTTTCAATTTGACAGTTGATTTTTGTGGAAAATTTCGCGATATACACGATGGTGCCACTCCTTTTCTCTGAATATAACTCTCAACCAAAAAAAAAACCTCTCAAGTTGACGATAAAATGGAAGGAATATTTCACGCTACCTTGAGAGACCACGCCTACATCACGACCAACTCTCCATGCAAAGATAGGGACCTAATACATTGACAGGGTTGCCACTTTATTTGGGAATTTTAAATTAATTTGACGTGCAAGTGAGTCTTTTTTAAAAAAAAATTTGATCATTTTCTTGTGCGGCCTCCAAGGCGAAAAAGTTTTTCGATTTATTTTCGTTGAATAGGCCTGTTGCAAACCTTTTTTCGGTTTAAACGCGATGCGACATGATTCGTTTCTGCCAGCTCGTATCGTACCTAATCCATTTTCTGAATTTCAGCAACGGACCCGGACGCCATCACCATGTTCTGCATTCTTTGGTGCTTGAAGATTTACGGCTACTATTTCGACTTAAAATTGAAGGAGAACTCAACTTTTGACAGCGATATTCTTTAAATTCATCATGAATATAATGTGGTCTAGAGAGTTCTGACAGTTAAAAAATGGTTATGAACATTGAAAACTTTTAGTTCGATGAATTGAAGTTGTCCCTTAGGGTCCATTAGCGCTAAGGAAAAAAATTCTAAAACTTGTTTGAACCAACCCTATAATATTCTCCCACAGGATTCACTTTCAGACAGTAATAATTAATCAACATAAACATCAACCATTACTGATAAATCATCAAAGATCCTATTGGGCAAAATTCAGCCAAAAAGCACCAGTTTGGAGTCTTGACATTTTGGCCACCGTTGGTTGCTTATTTACGCTATTAAACTGTGACTCGATGATAAAGAATACCATAGGGCGACATTCCGCCGAAAGGCACCCGTGTGGGTTCTTTATGTAATGGTCACAGTTGATTGCTAAACGCTACCAAACCATGGCTAAATGATCAGAAATTCCATTTGGCATAATGGAGATGTTGCATGTGTGAGGAATTTGCGATTTGACTGTTGAATCTTGGGTAAAAGGTCAAGAGAAACACGATGGTGCCACTGGTTTTCTCTGAAATCATCTCCCGAGCTCAAAAAAAGCACTCAAGTTGAGGCCAAAATGGAGGGAATATCCATCCTACCCTGAGAGTCCAAGTCTAGATCAAGACCAACTCTCCATGCAAAGATAGGGAGCTAATACATTGACAGGGCTACCAATTTATCTGGGGACTCCAAAACTGAAAACACGGCAACCCTGCTAATGTATTTGCTCCCTATCTTTGCATGGAGAGTTTGTCTTCATGTAGACGTGGACTCTCAGGGTAAGGTGGGATATCCCCTCCATTTTGGCCTCAACTTGAGAGCTTTTTTTGAGCTTGGGAGATGATTTCAGAGAAAACCAGTGGCACCATTGTGTTCCTCGCGAACTTTTATACAAGAATCAACAGTTAAATTGCAAATTCCTCGCACATGTAACATCTCCATTGGGCCAAAATGCACCGATATCAATACCTCATATGTTACTTGGTTCCTCGAAAATTCTCCTCTTGGACTTAGCCTAAAAGAGTGGACATTTTTTAGCCTCCGGCGAAACCTAGAGTCTATACGGCTTCGCCGCACGACTAAAAAAGTAGAAGTGGCTATGGAATTACTTAATTCAGATCTTAAACGTATTAACAACGCTCTCACAGCTCTAGGACTTGACCTATCTCTCCCTAAAATCCAGACTATCATTTTTTCTACTAAGAGGCTCCCTGAAAATCTATCTTTTAATCTGGATGATTTTTTAATCCCTGTACTACCCTCAGCCACCTATTTAGGCCTCCTATATACTAGGAAATGAACTGGCTTCCTCATACCAACTTTATTAAACTAAAAAGTTCTTGTAAATTAAACATTCTGTCATATCTACATGGCTCTTCTTAGGGTATGAACCAGGATGTCTCCCGAAAACTTTTCATAAGTATGATTCGCCCGATTCTTAATTTCGGCCTTCCTATCTATTGCAGAAATTTCAATCTTATTGAAAGAACCAATATACTCAAAGACTCCTGCCTGCGTAAAACCTTAAAAGTTCTCAGATCAACTCTTACAAACAATCTAAACACCGAGGCAGCTATCCCTCCCACCCTTAACAGATTTAACTTCCTAACAGACAAACTCCTAATCAGATCTATGAGCCTGAAACACAATCCCATTATTAGGAATATTAAGATGCTTGAGAGATCAATTATGTCATGTAACTATTGGGTTAATAAACAACACCCACTTTTTCTTAATAGATGGTTCCTGAGAAAACCTTTAGAATCTAAAATCTTACAAAGCGATTTACCGATATATGAGAGATCCTGCTTTCCAATTTTTCCAACCAAATACCATCTTTCTTGACATTCCTTCCAAAAAACTATATGACCACATTTTAATCCAACTGACCTTTAATGAATTAATGAGATCAAAGTTTAGGAACTTTACCCAGTTTTATACTGACGGTGCCAAGACGATTGACCACACCTCTTCAGCCTTTCTCGCTAATGAATCCTACAAAGTCTATTACCTATCCGAATATAATTTTTTTTTTTTGAGGCCGAAACGTGGGCTATTCTTCAAGCGGTCAAACATAGTATTAGTCTTAATCTATCCAATGTTGTATTCTGTACAGACTCTCATAATGCCTTAGTTAACCTTAATAAACCGGACCGGACCGGACCTCCACCCCCTCACTGAAGAAACCAAAGAAACCCTTTTTAGATACCAAAATAGAAATATTTGGTTGGTTTGGATCCCTAGTCATTCAGGGATATTAGGTAATGAGACAGTTGACCAACTGACTAAATCGATTCACCTAGCTCAGATAGTTTATAATAAAATCTGTTTTAAACAATTTTTCCCCCTTATTTCCCAACAAAATTTTAATGATTGGAATTCAGACTGGTTAGCATGTACCTGGAAAGGTCAAAGATTAAAATCACTTCTCCCTTCACTTTCTCGCAAACCATGGTTTTACAGACTAGACTGGAACCGTTCCCTTATTACTAACTTAATTAGGCTTAGAATTGGTCACGGCCTTTTCCTTTCGGTTAACTTCAATGACCTTCATAATAATTGCCCATCTTCAATGAAAATTCGGCATTTTCCAGCAATCAAGTTGGTGTGTTTTCGTTCTCACTGATTCAACTGTTGTTCGCATCACTACAGCACTGATAATTTTAATTTCCCTCTGTTAATTAGAATCACCAAAGGAAAACCAGCAATTACCCTCGGTTAAACTCAGAAAGAAGAAAACAGACCGAACTTATGACCGTGTCAACTTCTGCAAATATTGTTTTCAACTTGTTACCAATTCTACCAGACACATCATTAAGCATCATCCAAATGAAGCAGACGTTGTAAAATATATTTAAGCTTGAAAGAGGAAGATGGGCAAATAAAAGTAATGACGAAAAAAGAGTTGCTAGTTGCTAGCCCTCAATCAATTTTGCAAAATAACTGTAACAAGGACCTGAAGAAGGCTTACATGAAAAAAAAACTGGAAATTACCGATAGACTTTGAGATGAAGGAAATCATATCTACAACTCTACCACCATAGATGCAGATAAATTTCTACCTAAATGCCGAAGTAACAAAGCTTTCTCGAACATTTATCCGTACCTTAAATGTAAGTACTGTGAGGCTTTGTTTGTAAAAAAAACTTTTTACAGACATTTAAAAAAATGTCCAAAAGCTCCGCCTTCAACCCATGTTATCAAACATTTCAATGAAACATTGAGCAAAGCCATGAACTCTACAGATGAAGATAGTGACATTGAGTTAGAAAATTTGGATAAGCCTATTTTCAGGAAAATCCTCAGAAGACCAGTTCAGAGGGAAGCAGGCGTTGTAATAACCCCAAATTCTGAAGTAGTGTGCAAAAAACTGCGAGAAGTCGTCTTTCCAATTCTTAGAAAAGGAAATGGCAACGGGCAAAAAGAGAATGCTCAGCTTAGTTTGATCGCCATAAGTGATCCCCTCATTATTGAGTTCGCAACAACTTTTTTTGCCAGCCACCCTGATGAAAAAGACTTTTATAGTCTAACCAAAAAAAATGAAGGATGCTGAAAGGCTTGTGGTTGGATGTAGAAGACTTGATCCTGATATTAAAAACTATGCAGACATTTTTAGTCCAGCTAAATTCAAATTATTAATGACTGTTGCGCAAGAACTTTGTGGTCTAGATCATGAAACTGGTATTGTGAAAGTAGCCTTTTTAAGCCGTTTCTGGTTGTATTTGCTTAATGTGTATCCTTGTGTTTAACTGAAAAACAGTCCAGCCTCTTGTTTGGCGTTAGAGCCCCCCCCCCCCTTTCTCTTTCAATAACCTATCAATTTTGTAATTTCCTTTTCATGAAGTCAGCAATCTGCTAACGTTCTAAGCTCGATGAGCACAATTTTTTGCAAAGCGATTATTCAGCAAGGGTAGTTTTAGAGTAAAAGTATGTTTGTGTGTGCGAGTGAGATTTTCTTAAACTTTCTATTTTGCGTTTGAGATCCAGAACGCAGTAGCTACACTACCTTTTTTTTTCTCTTTGATCTGTGATAAGGCCTGGGGCCAGTGATGATCTCTTTTTATTGTGTAGTATTTTTGTGAGCCAGAGCTGTGTCTTTCTCTGAAGAAGTAGAATAAAGTTATTGAATTGGAACTCTAAATTTTGCGTTGTGTCTCTCTCTCTCTCTTTTCTCTTAAACTCTCACCCAGACTCCAACGTGAGTTTTGAGTGTGTAGCACACACAAAGTGAACATAAGGTAGAGGTTGAGTGCGGAAGTGAAAATGATTTGATTGGAGAAAGGAGAGTTGAATGAGTTAGAAAGAAAGACGGTTGGTGAGAGTGGAATAAGGTTAATAGATTTTTAGTGTAAGAATAAAAATTTGGAAGATTAGAGATGGATATCATTTTGGATTCCATCAATGGAAACAGTGACAGAATCAGAAGAATCAAGTGCTGACAAGGCAAATGACAGTCTGTGGGAGACGAGCGACAAAGAAATACCAGGTGTTCAACCATACGTTTGAACTCTGAAAAGCACGTTTTACACATAACGGGACAAAGTTTGAACATGCCTACCTTCAATGAAATGTACGGCAACTATGGGTGGGTTCAAGGACCCCTCCCTCTCCCTAATGGTTGGCAGCAAGGGCTAAATTTAATTAAATATTGAATGAGAAGCTTGACCTTAGTAGGAGAAAACTGCAATTCAATACCTATAATACTTCCCTAATGGCTTGCCATTCCAATACTAGAATGGCACCCTGTATTGAAAAATATTACAGGCAAACTCAATGAAAAATGGGATAGTTGGCAGGGTGTCTACAAACTTGGACTAAAATTTCTGGACTTTTCTAGACTTTACCTGGCCAAAATAACCAAGATTTCCTGACTTTTCACATCAACAATTAGCATGCGTGGAATTGAAAACGAACAATTTTCGGCATTAATCGCACTGCATGTGAAAGAGACAGGTGAAACTTTTTCCTTCAAGTATTAATCATTCAATTAAATAAAATTGCAATTTCTTGTTGAAAATTATTCCTCTATTCACTATTCGAGTGAGACTCAATGCACTGGTCCCAAAACCAGACTAAGACTCAATTTCATTAAGTGGACAGCACTAATGTTTTCTCAGCTTTGTAATTTCAAGCTGTCATACATTTCCAGTCCCGATCATTAAATTCCTTGATTTCTCAGACCTGGTGAAGTTCCTGTACGATTTCCTGTTTTCCAGGTTTCCCAGACTTGTAGACACCCTGGCAATGCAGAATATACACACTAAGATTGAGAAAAAAAGAATTTTACAAATAACAGATTTTGACATAAAATATAAAAAATTACCATGGCAATATACTACAACTTGGAAAGACACGTAGATATCCTGATCAGTTCTGGGATGATAGCCGTTGATTATCCAGTCTTAATTATTTTGGCTGAACCATCACGCTGTCTTTTTGATGGGGGATCTGCAGAGAAGCAAACAAATTTGGAGAATTAGACACAGCAAAAACATAAAAAATAGTGATTTCCTTCACATGCAATAGTGATAGTGCCGGGCTCACTCTACCGTACGAGGAAATAAAAGCCGAAAAGCCCAGAAAATAAATTGCCAGAGGAGATAGATAAATTTAAAATAGTGAACTTCTGAATCAAATGGTTTCCACTAGTCATTACACAATTGTTAAAACTTTCAACTCACTCCCAGTTTTATAAATTCACGATTGGTGTGAACTAGATGTGGTGTCAACTAGTGTAAACTGTATTTTGAAGATTGAAATTAAGGTTCAAAAAAGAAATTCTGTTCGGTTCAGGGTGAGAGTGGTAGGGGAGAGTATTCAGCATAGGCAGATACATTCAAACAATGCATTGCAGGTGAATTGAAGAGCTCACCGCTCACCTCTTTCATTTTTGCACCGATACAAATTATTATTTCTCTTTAAGAACTTTAATGGGAATTTCTCTTTCAGAGCTTTAAATACCCCCCCCCCCATTTTAATAGTGTATTGCTAATCTTGATTAATGACTCATTAGTTGTTCTGTTTACCAGAAGTACTTCCTCTTCCGTAGTTTATAAAAAAAAAAATTCACGATCATTAATGTGTGTTTCCATTGAGAGTGTAAAAATATTAAAAATTGTAACACCCTGTTTTAGAATTTGCAAATTTGAAGTCTTAACAAGTGCAACTAACCCAAATAGGTTTTCCATGAAAATAATCTTTACGAACAACTTTCATTGAAAAAGTTGATACCGGTCAAGATCCAAATTACATACTCAGAATGAGTACTCAGCTGATTACATAATTCACAACATACAAGAATATTTCCTCCTAATTAATAAGAGTCCTCTTAATGTGTGGTAAGTCTTAATAGTGATAATATGTAGATTCTTTCCACACTGACATTACATTTTACTATTACAACATAAATCTAATACATACAATTAGAGCATAGTGTTTACGTTAAATACTTCATCTTGGAAATACATGCTATTAATTACAAACTACAAAATTGGGGATTTTGCTTAAAGGAGAGATACTTGTCAACAATTCCTGGAATAGCGAGGGGAGGAAAATTGATCGGCCTTGTTACTAAAAATTTTTTGTGTTAAACTATGCAGATCCATATATTGGATGAGCCTGTAAGCCTATGAACTGTATCAGTTTTGTAGAACTGTGCATAGTCACTCATAGCAATAATGTGCTAGTCACAAAATTGCGTTTTGATACATTTGGATTATGCATTGGCAAAAATGATGAGATCTATTCAAGTACTGAGTTTCCACATCCAATAGTATCGGAGCCATCGCCCTTCCAAAAACGTGTGCATGACATCATCTACTGCAGTGGTGCATATCATTTCTTCCAACTTGGTTTCATCTGTGTTTTAAATGGAACAACAAGTGCAAGTGTGTACTTCATTAATTGATGAAACAAAAGTGAAAGAGACCGTGGTAAGCACCATCGCCGTAGATGATGTCATACACATATTTTTTGAGGAACGATATCCCCATTGATATTGGCTGTAGAGACTAGGCCATTAAACATATTCTTTTATTTTTAGCTAATCTATAAGCTTAAACCATCAATACGCGATTCTGTAACAAGTGTAACTTATGCATAACAGTATTTCAGATATTTATCTTATTCACTAGTATATCAAATGTGAAATGTAGGACAAGCTTTTGTGTTTCATTAATTGATAATAAATGATGGGGAAAGAATTAATAAGAATATTTTAGTAAAAGGAAAACGTTAAAGTTACAGAATGCTGTTTGCATGCGCCACTTAAAGAAAGAAGAAAGGAAGGAGTGCAATAATATTTGCTTTCTTTTTTTTTTCTAAAAAAAAGGATCAGATGCTTAAGACTCCTAGACATGTGAAAATATGAAACTGAAATTTGTTTTAAAAAAAAAGTTATGAATTCTGAATAAAAGGAAAAACTACACCTATCAGACAATACTAAAGCTCTAATATAGAGTCTAATGACAGTGATCCGTTGATTACTACATTAGATTATCTTCAAAATGTTAAAAAAATCAACTTGTTTCTTAAAAATTTACTCTAAGAGATCTAATTTTTCTGAGCCCATTTTCATGATCCTCTCAATCATTTGATGGATACTGACTATGAGTAAAATTATTAAAAGAGATATCAGTCTAAGTTCTTTAACCACAGTGAATAAAACTAAAAAACAAGAACTTTTCCTAATTTTAAGGTGCGAAAATTTCTCACACTAAACTACATATTGAGAGTAATAGGCCTGAATTTTAATAGCTACTTTCAGTAAATCACTTCAAAAAAAGAATAAACAATAACTTAGAAAGCTAGAGACTTTCTTTTACTACTCTAGCTGATAAAAATACCACAGAAGCATTAAAACTAAAACAATAACAAAATTATGTTCAAAGAAGGTCAATAAAAAAATAATCTGTCAAAAGAGATATTAGTGAAGTTGATAGATAAAAAGTACGGAAGATGAAATACGTTAAAATAAAGTAGACCTAAAGAGAAGATCAACCTTTGAAAATTATGTGATGGAGGAACAAAAACCAGTAAATGAAAAATAGAAAACAGAGTAGAGAAGGAGATTGACACTTGAAACATGTAGGTTTCTTTGGCAGGCATGAATGAGACGAAACAACTTACGAATCTATTGTTCAATAAATTTTCCCGAATATTGGGTGGTAACCGGTGGAGAATTTCTCCTTTGCCACCTTGTTCATGACCTAAATAATCTTGCTCACCCTCCTCTGAAATTACAAATAACTCAAACTGAACTCATTGCTCCATCGACGCACAATTTAAGTAAATAGGATGCATGCAAGAGTATTGCAACGGTTATTATAAATAGTCTCCATAATCTTAAGACCACAGTTTTAATTTCAGGGCTACCTCCCGTAAACAAAGGAGGTAAGTGAAAATTTTAAAAATTACAAAAACGGATGATTTAGAGCAGACTTTTTTCACAATAAGTCTGGCAATGAAAAAAGTACGAAAGACTAATTTTCACCTTTGCAGTATCAACTTAATATTTGTTGGGACTATATTATTATGTGAATGTTGTTTTTAAACTTTAAACTTGTTTTTCTCAAAATTGCAAGAATACAGCTTACCTCCTTCTTTCATCAAATGGTTCAATTGTACATTACGGCATTTTAAAACAAAAATAAAAAAGTGAAAGCTCCTTGTATTACTAATTGAATCGGCGTATGTAAAAACGTCCAATGTCAAATACAGTGTTTCAGAGTTTAAGTGGACAATTTCATTGTAACTTAAAGACAAAATATGGTTTAAGATGTTAGGAATGTAGACAAATTATTTGAAAAATCCCCTAAGTATAATTAAACATTTACAAAAGAGATCGATCTTATTCAGCAGTCGTGGGGCAAAAACAACCACTGCAATTATGAAACCCTGTATTGCACAACGGACGTTTTTGCTTGAGTCAATTCAAGTTTTGACTGGGATTTTTGTGCTAACATTTGCTGCTTCAATCTTTATTTTTACTTCCTTACAACAAAGTTACATTTCTATGTAAGCTAAAGTTACATTAGGATTTAAGAAGATCTCTTTTTGTCAGAGTGCCTTCATATTGAAGAGAATTTTTTTTTCTTTCATCATGACAGAATATTAGGTATTTCAATTCATTCATGTTCAATGATGGAGTTTATAGTCATTCATATAAGACCAGTTTAACAGAAATCCATCAAGTCACAAAAAGTTTGAACCAAGAAAAAGAGGTTAGGAGTTTTATTCCTCTATAAGACTCAATTTTAAGAAGGAAGTTGAACAATTATTTTCACGTTCAAATTCTTTTTCTGAACTTGGAATTTTTGACAAGAAGAAATGCACAACTAATTGAATTGGAAATCACTCCCAACTCATTTTTTTTCCAAAATGCGACTTGATCCATTTCTATTTAACTCATTCCATGTTTGCTGTGGAAGGAGAAGGAGCTTAATTATATTTTTAATCTCATTACCTAGCTTAGGAGGAAAATTATAATATTCAATACTAAAATGCAATCGAAATTTAACTGGAAGGATTAAAAGAGACTAAACTCACCTTCTTCATCATTTTTATACTCTCCTCCATCTTGATAGTTGTAACCACTTTTATCTTGCTTGTGAATTTCTTTTACCTCTCCAATCCTGTAAACCAAAATTTACCAAACTCAGGGCTGCAGAAAATTATGAAAGGCTCTTGGTGCATACTAGAATGCCATCAACAAAGGCTTAATCAGAAGATATTATGTTTTTAATGAACCCATAATTATTTCTATTATAAATTAATTTTGTTGATAAACTTCCATGAGTTTTTTCCCAATCAGAGACCTGAGGTAATATTGTTGCTTCACAGTATTAGAAATTGATGCTATTTATAGTACGGTTTCCATAATTGAGAACTTTATTTTCCAATTCCCTGACTTTCCCTGACTTTTTTTGCTTTTACCTGACTCAAAAATTTTCACACTCTCTGATTTCCTCTGATAGATAAACACAACGTCCATTTAGATTTATTTTCCTTTTTAACTACGCTGCTGGTTAAATTTCCTGACAGTCCCTGACTTTTCAAGTTTTTCAGAGCGCCGTAGGCCCTGATTTTACAGAAGCATATGCTTGCGAGACAAAAACAAAAGTCCTGACCAGTTGATATGATTTTAAAATTCTTTCCTGGTGACCAGGGGTGCAAAAATTTCTTGACCATGCGACCAGGCTTGTCAATGATGGTCATCTACAATAAAGAGACGACCCTGAAAATGGGTTTTAAGAATGGAGAGGTCGGCAAAATCATGCTTTTTTCTTTAAAAAATAACTGCTGTAAAATCACAGAGTTTTTTTTTTTTTTTTTTTTTTGAAAAATCGCAAAAATTTATATGTACAGAGTGTATGAAAGGTTATCACTTTGAAGTTTCTGAGGAAAAAGGGGTTTTACAGTGAGGAGGTCAATTTGAACAATGGGAAGGTCAAGAACTTTTTGCATCCCTGATGGTGACTGACAGGTACTTTCATACCGCTTTATAAACTTATATTGCCTTTAAAGATCGGTTTTCAAATAAAAACAGTTGAAAGTCCGGTTAGGATTTACAATTATGACTTTAAGGTTTTTGTAAGTACTCTTTTCTTTCCAATTGTGCTATGTTGGAGAATCATAAATACAAAAAAAAACTTTTTTGACTGTTCTTTACTTACGGAGGTTGTGCTTGCTGAATCCAGTCGTGACCCTCATGGGCATCATCTTCTTCTTCATGCGCCCCATTCAAATCGTGGAACTGATTATCGTTTTCGCCACCTAACCCATGCGCATTTTCAATTGCTGATTTTTTGGCAGGTGGAGGTGGTGGAGGAGGCGGAATGTTGCCTAAAAATTTACCAGAAAGAAATTAGATGAATTAACCTAATATTGTCTTGAGAGAAGAAATTCAACTATAGTCCTCGCCACAAAAAGTGGCGGGTGAGGGGCGGAGCCAGTTGGCCGGTCTAGTCTATCGTTGAAGGGCTGAAGCGCAGGTATTGGCCCAGACGTTACCCGCTAAGTCTCAACTACAGGCCAATACCTGCACTTCAACCCTTCAACGATAGACTAGACCGGCCGACTGGCTCCGCCCCTCACCCGCCACTTTTTGTGGCGCGAACTATAGTATAGATTTGGGGAAAGGAAAGTGAGAATTTCAGTGTGAACTTCAATACACAGAGTTTGATTCAGATGTTGCGGGCAGAATCCATACTTTTTCAGTTTTATCCATACTTTTCCTTACAGGGGACACCTGTCCATTTGGGAAACTTGCATTGTATTTTGCAAAAGGGAACCAAGAGCATTCCAATGTCTCTAAAATTGTGCAACTTTTTTTACCTAGCAAATATGAATTGATCATCTAAACAAGTTTGATCTCTGCTACCAATAAACAATAAATTCAAGACAAAAATTACTTTTATAAATTTAATTTGTTGCGCGATTTCAGTAATTCTATTGAAAAGAATGTAAGCTGCACAATCCTAGCAACATTCAAAAGCTCTGGGTTCCTATTTATTTTGCAAAATGCAATCCGCTTGACATTACTGTGCGCCTCTCAGAGAGAGGATATCTCTAAAAGAAGAAATAAATACCTTTATTTTCACTTTGATCTGGTTTTGTGTCGTCTATGAAATTATCCAACTGCTTGTTGTTGGTGTCTTCATTATTCATCTTAACTGGGTTCATCGGGCCAGGAATAACTGCTTTCTCACTATCATCGTGTTTTGGCTCTTCTCCTTGCGGCTTGGCTTCTTCTTGTCCAGCTTTACTTGACTGTTCATTGACCTTGGGTTTGGGACCCTGACGCAGAGAAAAATTAGATCAATGAATGGAAGGTGTTACTCTCGCGAAGAGATGTGAAAAGGGGCAGGGATTACATAAAAAGAAAAGCTTCATGAGTTTTTAGAGTCAGTTGAAGGTAAAGTCACAAATACTAGAATGAATGGGATGTTCAACGCTTAAAAAATAAGAATGCATGAATTTTTCGCCAATTTTATTATCTTAATAAGGGATGAAACTTCTTTTTCCCAGGTTTGGTATGAAAATTTTGATTTAGAGCAAAGTTACAAATTGTTAACAAAAAAGACATAATGCTTAGATTGAAAATCCTTCAACCAACAAACCTGTCGAATACGGTGACTCTTTCAAATTGTGTTGGTTGTGAAACTGTCACAGCTGAAAATCTGAAAGCAGCACCAATATTTCAAAATGGAAAATGGAAGATGCCACAAAAGATGGAAGTTAGCGATTCTTGAGATTTGAAAAACACTCAGAGCTGCCATGACATTGTTTTTAACTTTGGCAACTTCATTTTGGTTCGATCATTTTAAATTGAGGTTTAGAGGGCTGGTGAGATGAATCAATGCTGCACATCAAAATTACTTACAGGTTTTCTTCAGAGATTAATTTTTGTAAATGACTGGGTAATTTGGCTTATCGATACTCATATACTCAATGAGACTCAGACTTTGAAATACAACCTCTGCCAATCCCAATTTCTCTTACTATGGTTATTAGTCTATAGTTTGAGAGACAAACTAAAGTTAATCTGCGCAAAGATGCAACCATACTTACCACATTCTGTTCTGGCGCAGGGTTTGCTTGATGTGCATTCTTTGGGCTGGCAATCTTTTTGTTTAACAAGGAGCTGATAGCTACATTAAGCATATCTACGCTGTCAGCCGGTAATTGAAGGGGAGGAGGAGCCTTAATGATCAGAAGAATAATCAATTAGTGACAAATATTTTTAAAAGAAGGATACAAGGGAACATCACTAGACCAAGAAAACATCGAGACTTAACAAGGCATGTTCTTTAATCAAGAATTTATCCAAAATGTTCAATGTAGCTGCTATTTTTCCATAAAATTTCAATGAGAGATTATTAATCTTGGTTTTTCATCTTGTCTGGTGTTGCATTCAATGAAAGAATAAAATATGTAATAACTACTAATTTGTCACAAACTATAATTAGTTATTTAGAGTAATTGATGCAGGAAGTTACTCTCCTCTCCTCTCCTTTTTTCGACAGAGATTACTTCATTTCCTTGATGAATAGAGAAATGAAGTGTTCAACTACCAATGGCGCTGCAGCAATATTCTTTTGAAACGACTATAAGTAAATAATTTGGACTGAAAAGTTAAACAGCTGAGCTACTGAGAGACTTTTTAAAGAAAAGGAAGCAAAAGTATGCTCCGCATAAGACCTATGACCCACTCATTACTATTGAAACTAGAAGGAACCCGTGCCTCGGTTTGTGCTACAGCAAACTTTGCAGCGTTCTTTATTCTTTAAACAGCACAAACTGTAAAGTGTTAGTTTTTAAAAACTCCTTTGATTCTCGACCTTTTGAGATGATTTTATTTTGAGAATGTCAAGTAGTGAAGCTACTTTGCTCTCTTCCAAAAAGAAAAAATGAAGCAGGGACTTTCAGGGAAATTTTAGAACACTGCTACTCAGATACATGTTTTCTTCAACGCATGTGATGCATTCTTGCACAAAACTCTAATGAAATTCGAGAAAGGGAATCATTACTACCTTAAATTATTCAGTCTCTCTATCAGTAAAATCAACATTGCAGTGACAGAAAAAATAAATGGTTAGAATAAGCACATATATCAATCGCCTTAATTGCCAAATTAGACAGATTAATCCGAAATCAGACTAATTGTATTCAGTTTTCTGTTTAAAAAATAAAACATCAGAGAAAATTACACAATGTCTGACAACGCTAGGCTGATTTCAGTTGAATTCGCCTAATTGAAAGAGGGAAAGCAAAATGGTCCGAACTGTAACAGCAAAGGTATTATAGTCTACAACATGAAATTTGTGACTAAGCGGCAGAGTCAGGTGAGCAGTTAGATCTTTTGTTCACAGGTTAATTGCCTGATGCAAGCCTGGTCTCTTAAATATGCCAGTATACTACATTTTAACCCTTAAACAACACTCCAAGCCGATCACTTACTCCACCCCTGGGCTGCCATGTATTATGTTGTAGACTATTATCTGTATTTTTGAAACCTCCAGGAGGACAAAATAAATTGAGAAAACTACACTGCAGCCAAGATATTATTTACGCACAAAAATGTATGTGCAACCATTGAAGCTAGCAGAATGAGCACACATGCTTTTATAAACAATCACTATAAATAAGAAGAGATAAAGACAAAGGAAATATGACAGGTTTGGTAAAATCATGAATGGCTTAATTCAAACACTTACACTCTGATTGTTTGCAGAACTAGCGGTAGGACTTGGATTGACCTACATAAAAAAGCCATCAAAACAAATAGAGTATTAGAATCTACAGGATGCATGAATTAGGAAGAATGAAATGAAAACCGTTAATATAGTGTGTGACCGCCCACTAGAAAAGTGACTCCAGCTCAAGGAGACCAGAAAGGAAAGTTTTAGCCAGTTACCATAGAAATTCAGTTTTTGGAGACGAGCATGTTCTTGTTTCCCAAAGAACAAGTTGTTTATTGCATTTGTGCTCCAAAAAGGTGCGTAACGCTGCATTGTAATCTGACAACCTTGTACCTTGAATAAGGTTGATAAACCTGGGGTTGTTACAAGTTTCAAAATAGCGTTCTCAAAACTGCAGTATTTAGACAACATTTGAGATATTTTGACATTTTTTTAAGACATTCATTTATGCTGTGCTAATAATACATTGCCTACCACACCAGTCATATGGACCGGCATTAAAGGGGTCTGCGAGTGCCAAGCTAGTTGTTTTGACCTAGATGCAGTCGCTTGCATTGGACGCTCTTGCAAGGCTAGTGGCCATCAAAGCTATTTACCTGCTTATGGCTAACAAACGACACGATCCCAGCAGGAAAATGCACCACTGAACTTTTGGGAATTCTTTGGCGCCGGAAAAGATATATGTTGAAAACATCATGGCTGACATTGTGTTAATAACTCAATTCTGGATTCCTCAAAAACAGAGTCGCTTTTTCATGGACAGTCGCGAATAAGAAGGAAAAATAATGTTCTAGATTTTAACTGACAGGTGCTTTAGTAGTAACATTATTGTCATGCAAACAATTAACTTCCAAATTCTTTGACAGAAAACTACATTGAGCAAACTTAACAGAGATTATGAGAATTTTAATGGTAGTGTTCTGAAATAAAACTCATGAGAATATGATCATTGGGTTGACTGTTTCAGATCTCCTTCCCAGGCAGGTACTGATTGATCAAAAGATTAATTTGCCATTCCCATTCGACAAATTGGAGGAGATCATGTTACATGTTGAATCAATAAATGTTACACGAGAATCCCTGCAGACATATTAAAATTAAACACTTCAACCGTGACATCACCCATTGTGTCATGGGGTACCCCTTGTTTGTCCACACTCCGTGACTGGAGTTGGATTATTTATCTCAATTCTAAAATTTTTGTTCATCGTTGAACAGCACACAAGAGCTTCCTTCAAAACTCACTTAATATTGAAGCATTTAAAGACAAAAAAAAAATTGTAATTTCAAGGTTTCTGTAAAAAGAATAACCTTATACCTAGATTTTAATAGGACCTAAAAATGCCCTTCGAATCGAATTGAACTGAGCTGAGATAAACTGTCAAGTTACGCAACTTCCCTAGGAAATCCTAACGACTCACCCATTGCTGTACAATATTTTACTCACACATCATATGAAAAAATTGTGAAACGATAATTGATCTAGTTTTAGGTTTTCTGTATTGTTAAACCATCATAGGAATTAAACGTATTAGTTGCATTCAAAACCACAAAAAAGTTCCATTTTGAAAAAATTGTAAAAATCTCACCAATATATTCTGGCCTTGATTTGCTCCATCAGATTCTTGCACTGCTTGAGGATTGATTACAGGAGTTGTTGAAGTATTTGCAGCTGATACAGCCTGAAAATTTCCAAAAATTTTTAATCAATACTTACGATTCTAAATACTCCAGTATTTTTATCGAAAAAGTCTTTAGTTTAAACTCTTTTTCTACATTCTAAGCACACAGATCACATAGGTATCTTGAGAGGGATTGACAAAAGTTCTAAGTGAAGCTTCTGGCTCAGAGGATACATAGAGCAATTTGAAAGATGGTTATTTAAAAATTGATGAAAATTTCAAAGGATTGACTATGTTACCTTAGGTATCGCTCCAATTGCAATCATGTCATTGTTAACGTTTAACGCTTTGTCGAGGGGTCGAGCACTGGATACTTTCCCTCCTCCGCTATTTGGTTGGCATGAAGTCAGTTTTTCTTTCAGTTCAGATACTTCACGCTTTAGTTCAGTAACTCGCTCTGATTCAGGCTGGCTCTTTTCGGACAGCTCATTATTCTTTTGCACTGCACTTGCATACTTTGTCTGGAGCTCAACATATTTCACCTGAGAAAGAAAATATATTTGAAACAAGACTATTCCTTAACCTGATAGAGAGCTGATTTAGATCATGCTGATGCACGTGTAATAAGTGACGCACAATTGATTTCACGCTCAAAAGATGGAAAAGTGCATTACTTTTTAATCGCCCTGGAAATAGTTTCATTATCTCATGTTTTCAATCTCTGTCACAAATTGCTAAATACTACAGGATTGTGGATACACCTTAAATTTTCTTAAACCAAACTTTTAGAATTATTCTCAAATTTTTCATTGATGATTATCAATTCATCTATTAATCGGATAACTTGATCATAACTCAAGAGTACATTTAAAAAAAAAATTAAAAAAAAAAAAAATATTTACCTTCAATGCTTTGACTTCATCTTCATAAGTTGCTTTCATTGTCTCTATTTTGGATTCCAATTTTCTTCTTTCTTCTTCATCTTCTGTTTTTGTCGCCTTTTGTTTACTTAATTCCTCTTTCAGGTCACTGTTCTCGCTCTGTGAATGAGAAATTTTGAAAATTTCACAATAAAATAGTTGATTAACTACTTAAAAAGATCTGAATTATTCGAATGCTCAAATTCATTTTTCAACAGTCTTTGAAAGATATTTTTTAAGACTGGCTTCATAATTTCCCTTCTTCTTCCTATAAATTGTATTGTTCTACAGAATTCAAATGAAATTGCTGTAAACGGTCTTCCCTTTTCAGAACAGGGGGCTGATAATTGAAATTGATAGACAAAGCGATGGAAAAAGAAGACATGGAGAGTATGGAGTGATCCTATGGGTTGAAATGAGTGGTTCCTATCGACTAAGAGAGAAAATGATGGACTAATTATAGGGTCATTTGTGGGTTGCCGTTGCCCTTAGTTAGTCTATCACTTACCTCCTTTGTCTATTGCAACCACACGCATCCGCCAATGGGATCCCTCCAAATCTGTTTTGTCTTCATTGTCTATAACTTTGTCTATCAGTTTCAAAAATCGGACTGCAGGAAGTATCCACAGAAAAACAGCAAATATTCCTAAAATATCTTGGACAAAATACATGCTTGCATTGTTTCTGTTTCATGGAGTAGAAAGAAAGTAAAGTTCTGGAACTGATTAAAACAAACCTACCTGGAGAAGTTTAAACTTTTGGCTCAGGGCACCATACTTGTTTAATGCCTCTGAGCTTTCTCTCTTTCGTAGTTTCCGCTCTTCATCAACTTGCTGCATCAGTTTTTCTTTTGTTTCGCGATGGTCTGCCTTCTCCTTTTGTAGCGACTTTTCAATCATCAATTTGTAGTTCAGAGAAACTATAATAAAAACAAAGATTTTTCATGAGTCTCATGGATGCAGACTACTACTCTTTAATTACAATTGTAAATGCGTATTTCGACGCTGTAAGTCCGCAATTACATAACTCGTTTGCAGTGTCTGAAAATCTCCACCTCTATGTTATTTATTTAAAGGAGAAAAAATTGACATCATTCCTTGAAGTTTTTGCTGGATTTTCTTCGCACAGAGCGGAAAAATCACAGCAGTTTTAAAGAATTGCTGTTGAATAGTTTTCCATTTAAGAATAAAGTATGACAGGAAGTCTGCGACATCGCAAAAAGAGTTATGTGATTGCCGACTTACACTGTCTATTTGTTTGTTATTGATTTGCATCATACATGAGCACAGTATTATCTATTAAAACTGTACTTACAGATTGAATAAATCAGCATACTGCACTGGAATATTAAACATTCAAGGGTGAGATAGATATTCTGAGACAAACTTTAGTGGGAAATGAAAGAAACAAAATTTAAGCATAGCGTTTATCTCACAAGTAACATGATCTTGTTGGATGAATTGTCTCATTTGAGATTTTAATAAAGGCTATGAAGATAAATACTTACCTTGTAACTGCGCGAAAAGAGACTCGTGCTGTTTGGCACACTTTGCAGCAGTTGCTTTGGCGTCATCCAGTTGAGATTGTGTGCCATGGAAAATGTAGATGACTGTTATCAATATCAGTAAGCCACAAACATAACAAAAGAAGCTCTTTGAGCCTCGTGCAACAAATCTTGCGGAGCTCATTCTGAACTGTACCTAAGCTGTAGAAACAAGAAAAATGTGAGCATTAGCAATCTACACTCTTCAACTAGGTAAGTATGGTCTCAAGAGTAGACATACCTCTTGGAGAAGGAGCTGCTCTTTATGAAAAATCTTATCAGAATCCGGGGCATCATAGCGCGAAGCTTAGAAAACTTAGGAAGTGATTGTATCAAAACTCTAGAGCTTTACATTCGCTGTTATTTCATATACCAATAGAATGCGTATTTGCTCTCCATAGATATCTGTATGTTTCAGGAGTTAGTGCCTAAAATATTGCTGGAATGCATACTGAATCTATGATTGGAAGTTCACACGATAATTTTTTTGTACATGCGGTAGGTAATTCCATAAAAGAATCTGAAAGTTGACACACAACTAAATACGGAGTTGAATCTTTTTCTGGAAATTTGGATGTCATGGCTCCTACATTTCTATTTGCAACTGATTCTGCACGCACATCTTACATAAAAGTTGCAAGACTTCCTGTATGTCACAAAAAACTGAACAATCTGTGAACATGCATGACAGAACCAGGACAATGCATAAATATGCTTGAAAGATACCAACTTCCCATTTTGAATGTTTTTGAGAGGATGCTTGAAAACAAATTGTGAACACAGACAGATCGTGCGGAACATGATTTTACAATCAATGCAAAAAACTTACACAAAAAAGTTGATGACACTGGCAGAGATTGGCTGCCCATGAAACCGAACGAAAATTAGTCCACCAATGCTGGCACAAAAATCGAAGCTCAAGATCTAAAATCTATGACAAAACACAAATTTTAGAACATTTCCTAAAAATTGATAGCAAACTTGGGAGAATTATTTGCCAATTCAAAAGCGCGTACAATCAGACGGCAACACCATTCACAACAAAGTTATTGAGGTTAATTTTCGATCATTATTTTTGTTGTTGTTGATACAGGGTGATCCTGCGATCAAACTAAAATACTTCCTGATCAGTTTCCCTAGTCCCCCTACTCTCCCTGTATTTTTTAGCGGTTTTTCGGCAGAATTTGAGGTGTTTTCATAGCAGGTAATTTTGGGCTCCTTAGGAGCCATAATTCTTGTCATTCATAGATTTGCACGATGCAAGGACGGTANGGGGGGGGGGGGGGGGGGGGGGCGAAGTGAAAATCACTTCATACGGACTGCATTTTGCAATAAAGAACAAAAATTGTGGTCTAGCCGTAAAACCACATATCTGCACAGGAAAACTAATGGTACATCCGTTGTGTCTATAATGAGCTAGAAATAATTAGTAGTTTCTTAGCGCAAAATGATAGTTGAGATCAACGGTGAAACTAAACTACCAAACCACAGAGACCTCAATTGCGGTGTTTGAAAATTTCCGCTCCTATTTCATTTTTTGAAGAGAGAATCTTTGGATTTTTTTGCGCATTACATAAAGTGAATATTTTTCAAAGAACGAGGAAGAATTAAACGTAATTGTGTGCAAAAACTAATGAAAGGTCTGTAATCTTTAAAAACGATACCTACGTGACAAGAGATTTGCAACATCATAAACCTAGATACTCGCTTTTGGGGATTTCAACATCGAAATATAGGGAGTACCTAATAAAAGTAAAAATTTTGAAAAATCTCTACATGAATAAATTATCAATTGCACATTTTACGTTTTTGACTGTCAAATAAGTAGGATTGAGACCCTGCATCAATATTCGCGAAGGAGCCGCTCCACCCTGGTAAAAATTGGCGATAGGAGCTGCGTTTCAAAATACCATAGGAGTTCTTATAGCCGACTGCAGAAGGCGATAGAAATTCATATAGCTGGCTGTAGAAAGTGGAAAAAATCGTACGGCCGGGCTACACGAAGTGATAAAAAATTATGCAGCCGGGCTATAGTTCCTAACACCGAGCTTTACACTTTATCGCCTGGCTGTTGCTTTTTCGCCATCGATTATAAAAGGCTACAAGAAATTGTGTAGAAATTCGTGTTCTTTGGAAATCATTAAGTTTCATACGGAACTACCTTAATATTTACAAAACACACATTATATTTTCCTTTCCAACATATTTTTTTTTCATCGATTACAATGAGAATAATCCATACAGAGTGTGCAAACATTTCAAAATCATGAGTTGAAAAACGCTGACTCCACGAGATTAAATATTAGAGTCTAACACAAAGCGGAGCGGCGGCGCACTGGCACGGCGCCTACAAACCTAACAGAGATACTTCACGCATTGCGCAATGCGTGAAGTATCCCTGTTAGGTTTGTAGGCGCCAATGCGCGTTTTGCGCTGGCTGCCCGCCCGCCGCGCCGCAGGGTGCCACGGCGCTTGAGGCAACTAATACACACCAGAAGGATTGCACAGTATCATGCGAAATTGAAGGCGCTCCAACATATTAGGAATGGCAGGCGTCCTTCAAAAGTACGGAGCTTTCCTCGCAAAATAAATCGAGAGACGACGGCCCACATAAAGAGCGGTAGTCCAAAAACTCACTAAGTCCTAGCATCCGTAATTAATTAGTAACGTTTAGCATGCACTTTATCGCCAGGCTGTTGCTTAATCGCCATCAGCTTTAAAAGGCTATAAGAAATGGTGTTGCCGGCTATAGAAGCTATTGGAAATCTTACAGCCGGCTGTAGGTCTATGGTATTTTGGAACACAGATTCTACTGCCAATTTTACCAGGGCAGAGGGGTCCTGGGTAAGATTTCTAAAATCAGCTCAAAATATTACAACATTTCAACCCAGAGCTCAGAAATGATTTTTTTGAACGCGATTGCCCGAGCGCTATAACAGATTTTTAAAAGGATGTTCTTACAAATTTTGCTGAAATTAGTTGAAATTTCCGCCGCCATGCCTGCTATATTTACTGCATTGAACACGTGATTTTCGATTCTTAAATTGAGGGGCTCGAGGGACAAGGCGCATATAAGTGCAGTTTTTGCTATTTCGAGAAATCCGCATTCGAAGTTCCGGATCATATGGATCCTTATGGCGGAAAGAAAATTCAAACAGACTTTTTCATGCTTAAAAGTTGGAATTTGGGAGCAAATTTTTCACAACTTCGGTTTCCGCGGCCACTCAAGAATTCCATCTCGCACCCAGCCCAGGCACGGTAGGGTAGAGTATCTTTATCTGTACGGTGACCCTCCGGTTGTATGGGGCCCGCACATATGCGAGCTTTAGATATACATCTACAAATACATCCTAAAAAAGAATCAGACATCACACAGAGGAAAACATCTTGTGTTTACGCATCCGAAGATAGGAGAAATGTAATCGGGTCTCGTGATATTTGACTTTTTCCCCGAGTCTGAGTGCCACCTCGTTCTCAGCATAGAGCGGAGCATTGCGAGTTTACGCCTCAGCACGCCATCGCGCCTTCAATTTCACAGATGCAACACAGACATCCATCGAGTACGAATAGTTGTATGTCTGCGCCGTCATCAACGCGCTTCTTTTCCCTTGCTCTATATTGCATCCCGTTACATTCTTTGCCAGTACTTTTAAGTATTCTTTCTCAACTCTTCTCGTCTCATCTCATCTCATTCACTCCCTTTTATCTACTCGTTTCATTCTTTCTCCTCCTGATATTTCAAGAATTAATTACTTGCACTTTGAAGGACGGCCATTTGAGAACTGGTAATTGAATTCCAACTCCTTCGTGTAAATAAAAATCTTCTACGCTGTGGGCGATCAAAGTATTTCCAGCGGGTCTAACCGTGTTATAAAGCAAATCGACGGTGAAAGTCGGCAATCACATAACTCGTTTGTGGTGTCTGAAAATCTCCGCCTCTACGTCATTTTTTTAAAGGAAAACAAATTGATATTATTTCTTGAAGTTTTTGCAGAATTTTCTTCGCATTGTGAAGAAAAATCATGACAGTTTTAAAGAATTTCCGTTGAGCAGTTTTCCATTTAAAAAATAAAGTATGGCAGGAAGTCTGCGACGTCGCAAACCGAGTTATGTGATTGCCGACTTTCACCGTCGAAATGATGTGTGCGTAAAGTTGGCTGATAAGTTGAGTTGGTCCATTTTATTTCGAGAGCGATTGGCCCGTTGCCACAAAATTTGAATCCGCACATTTCTCAGCTAGCCTCTTTGATCCGAAACAGCTCTGGTCCATGAATTTACAAGATCTCAAAGAGGATTGATATAGGCAAATTCGAGAACTGAGCAGATAAAATTATCGGAACTAGGGATCACATCAAATTTCAACTAGTGAACTCAAACCAGAGACCGACGGGACCCCCTTAAGACTAGTAACGCTTCACGACCAGTTTTTGATTTTAATATGTTAAGTTTGCATCTCCGTTTCCTAATATTTATTTCTTCACTCACTCCTCTATGTTCCAGTTGCGTATCGACGGTGAAATTGCAAAAGTGCGTAACTATGTTGTTGTGTTTCAAAATCTCCGCTCTTATTAAATTCAAAATAAGACCAAACCATCATTGTGGCTAATAAATTTCATAGAATATTCTTTGTACCTATATGAAGAAAAATTGCTGAAGTTTTCGAAACACTAAGTTTGGTTTTTGACGTAAAAAATGAAGTATGACAGGAGGTTTGCAATGCCGAACGAAACGAGAAACGAAAACCAATTTACGCTTTACTGCGTGCAGTAATGAGTAATTTTCTCGCTTTTCCAGGATAGTTTCCTTACTGAACGACTGAGTGCCCTTAAACTTATCAGTTCATCTGCTCCTGGCATTCCTATGTGGTCAGCTCAGGTCTGATTCAAAAACATATTTGCGCAGAAAAGTAAAAATCATTTGCCAACCACATTAGCTGGTCCATCCGCTCGCCGGACGCTGTATGAAAAGATTTCAGATCCAGTCTGTAGAAGTGAAAAATGTTCAAATCTACCCATCATTTAATAACCCACAATACTACCCGTAAAAATTTTCAAATTTCAAATACCACCCAAAGCGTTGTACATACCTCTGACGTAAAGTGCGTATCTCAACTCCCACGTGAGCCTTGCGCTCCGCATAACTCGATGCTCATGTGAAAATAGAGATACGCCTTTTACATCGGAGAGGTAATGGTAGGTGCGATGAATCCCAATCGAATGTAAGTCGGTAAAATAGCAGAAACTTTCATGTGCCTACTCAATTCCGCAGAAGAATGCTGGTATTTTTAGGAGGGGGGAAGAGCTGAAATAGAATTCGACAGGTCAACTATTGGGGCACATAAACTGGACCGCGTTTAGCACAAAGGAACCCAGTCACATAAGCTATTGCCAAATTTACCTGGGCAAATTTAATTTTGTACACAAGAACGTTTGTGCGGATTTTTTTTTTGTTCAAATTTTAAGGAATTTGCTTTGCACTATGCAGAAAATTCGCTGAAATTTGCAAAAAAATTGACACAATAGTTTTCATTTAAAAAATTAAATTGCCCAATTAAATTTGGCAATAGCTGGTGCGGCTTAGTTTCTTTCTGCTTAACGCTGTCCACCTGCTCAAAAAGTAGTGGGACAAATCTAGAACTTCAAAAGTAAGCTAGGTAGAAGTTTTTTCTCGGTTTTGACCGAAAAACAATCGTAATAACTTTCAAATCCCTGGTAAAAATTGGCAGTAGAATCTGTGTTCCAAAATACCATAGACCTACAGCCGGCTGTAAGATTTCCAATAGCTTTTATAGCCGGTTACACAATTGCTTATAGCCTATTATAGCCGATGGCGACTAAGCAACAGCCAGGCGATAAAGTGTATGCTAAACGTTACTAATTACGGATGCTAGGACTTAGTGAGTTTTTGGACTACCGCTCTCTTTTTGAGCTGTAGTATCTTGATTTATTTTGCGAGGAAAGCTCCGTACTTTTGAAGGATGCCTGTCATTCCTAATATGTTGGAGCGCCTTCAATTTCGTATGATACTGTGCAATACCTCTGGTGTGAAATAGT